AGACATAACATCCACAAATCTCTTAGATTAGTAATAAGAAGGTGACCTTTTTACAAGAAACATTTGAATATTATGTGAGCACTCCTCACTGTTGTTTCAAGATGAGTTAATGGATAGGGTGGAAAGCACTCTTGGATTACATTCCACATTCACGGACTCTAAAATTAAAAATAGCATATTAGTGTAACCTAAGGTTAAACATTGTAGATTTCTAAGTACTTGGGTCATCCTTCCAGTTTTCTTTTTCTTTTTGTAATACATGCTGTAATAGTCTACACGTTGCAGTATGGTATAGCTACTCTTATTATAAAACTATCACATACACAAAAAAAATAAACTGAGTTAAGTAATCCTAACAAGGAATTGAAATATATTTAAAGTATTTTAGCAAATTCATTATTAACTGGGATTCTCACGTTAATTCTGAATGTTTTAGGAGTTATTAATATTTATCTCTAAAAATTACTTGTGCCTCCTTGAAATTACCTCAAAGCAACCGTCTAAATGATTAAATCCCCTTTCCAGCAACACGTTTTTTTGTAAAGATGCTTTAAATGTTTCCTGTCATTGTGCCTGAACAAGCAGTAAAATGTTTTATTTTTGCTGTGAAGGATCTGAATTTTCAAAATGTTTTTTTGTTGTAGGGTTTTGCTTTCCTGGATTCTTTCGAGACCTTAAAATAACACTCTTCATCATAGTAAATTGTATTGAAAACAAGGTTTTAGATGCCATAATGATTGGTTACATTCCATTAGCTAGTTGTTAAAGGATGAGAGATACATTTTTACGTCTTAGAACACAGTGTTCTGCATTATTTAGAATGTTTCATAACAGTGGTTATCTAAAATTGGCTTGGATTGCTTTCTAGAATTGGAGCGACTTTTTGAATTTCCTTGTATGGATTCCGGTGTATTTCAGTACCCCTTACACTGGAAGAAATGAATGCCAGACTCAGAATTTGGAATTTAGCCTAGGTAAAGCCAAAGAAGCAACTCATCAGACAGGAGTACATCAACCTCACCATCCGAGTATGATGGAGATAAATTACTACATGACTGGTTTTAGGCAATTTCAGAACAAAAGATTTATTTTTATTAAAATAAGTTATTTGCTAATTCCTCCAGTTAAGTTAATTGCCGTTGGGGATAGCTTTGCTCTAATTACAGTGTGTGTTCTGTTTGTATATCCTTGCTTGGTAGCAGCCCTAGCATTTTTTAGTCTTCTGTACTAATTTCTCATAAGATGAGTAATTAGATTAGTGCTTTGTTCTGCATACAGTGATGCACTGTGTCTTGATAAAAGCCCTCCAAGAAAAAACGGGTGTGCTTTTGGTGGGCCAGTAGGTGACACAAAGCCAGTTCCCCAATATGGTATGGGAGGAGATGACATCTTATGGATTAGGTGTTAAAGCAAGGTCCCTAACACACTTTTCAAAGGAACTAAAGTATAAATTCCACTGCTTTTATATAACAAGGTCTTCTGCCATTGTGCATTAATTCAGTTTGGGGAAACACCTGAATCTGTATTTCTAAATTTCACAATAGAATCCCTTACTTCTCCACCTGATGTGTTGAGTAGCGGCTCTCTTGCTGAAGAATGGCTCGTGTCATTAAAGCAGTTGAGATTGTTTGGGATTAAAGCGCTGTTTAAATGCAAGATTATTTTTCACATTTGTCAGTTCTTACTGTTTATTATTATCTCATTTCTCTGTGCTGCAGTTCAACAGTTCTGTGCTGACTGGTACTTATAGTTGAGGAGAAATTATTTAATGTCCAATACAAAGATTATGTTGTTCAGACTGGTGGTTTTGGGGCCGTAAATTTAAATTTAAGCTTCTTTGATTTGTTGGTTTGAAAAAGACAATAGCAGGCAAATTAAAAAAAATATATTAAATACAGCACCTAAAACAGTTTGGTTTCTTGAATTTGGTCATAAAATGGTATTGAACTTTGTAAGGAGGGAAACAGGAAATAACAAAGACCTTCAAATGTTTATATTTTGTAACATTTTTCTTCAGTGAAGGCGACGGCAGCAAGATTAGGGTACTACATAAAAATGCAGAGCCAGACATGCGTGCTTCCTTTGTTGTTGTTATAGTTCCACAGACAAGTATAACATGAACGTGCAATCTTTAGTAAGTCGGATAAATTTATTGTACTCAGCTGTGTCAAACTGTAAACATGTTTTTTTTTCCATGCTTGTTGAGTTTCTAATGATTGCATGTGTTAGGTTATTCGAAGACTCTGGTGCGCCTTTGTAAGTGACTCACCCACCCTGTTCTGGATGGTGATGCCTAATGTTGTGAATACAGAAGAACTGCCATTGCCTAGGCTGGAAATAATGTTGCAGGGTAAAGAGTTCCCATATAATTAAAGTTTGTCATTTCATTCTAGCCTTCTGTCCTTCAATAGGTCCTTTCATCTTGTGTGCTCCACTGCTTAGTGACTGATGGTAACACTCGGTGATCAATGGCAATCGCTTTTAGTAGCACCCCTCCTGGTTTTTACAACAATAACCTTAAATATAGTAATTCCTGAGGAATTCCAGTTGGGGATTCCAGTTGGGGATTTCTTTACTCATATTAACATTATGCATCTAGCTGCTGTTCTAAAAGATTCTAACCTGTTGCTCTTAAACTCAAACAAGCAAACAAACAATCAAACATGTACGGTTTTACTCTATAGAATATGGAACACATTCCAAAAAATGTTTTGAGTTAGATTTGTTTTCAGTGTTTAGTGGACTGGCACAGAACCACACATACAAGCTTTTGTAAGAGCACCGTAGTATGTGAAACAGCACATCATAATAAATTATTTGTAAAAATGTGTATTTTACATAATTTAACTCCTCCAAATCAGAGTAATCATGAACTTCAGATGATTCTTTACACAGCAGGACTCAGGAAGAGTCTATTGCTCTTTTTTACTGTAAATACCATGACCATTTTCCTGCAAGCCCTGGATAACATTCTCTAGCTTACTGACCTAGAGACAGCTGCGTGTTTTTGCCCTTTTCTCCCAAACCCCACAGGATTTTAATATCTCCTATTATGAAATTCTTCGAAGAAAGATTGGCATTTTAATAAATTCATGCTGTGAGGATACACTTTTAGTTTATTTTAAATAAGGCACTGTTGTTTGTTTAAAAAGAGAGTCTGGTAAACATTCTCTGAGAGAGAAACACTCTGTGAATCTGACAGTTCAGGTTTACCGGAAAGAAGCTGCAAGTAAAGGAAATATCTGTAGGGTTCTGCTTATATTATAACCATGAAAGCACATGGTTTGCAAGAGTCTGACGAATGTTCTGCGCAATTTCCACAAAGCTTTATAGTTACCAGTGGATTTCTACAAAAAGTGCAATTACACATAATGCCATACAAAAAATATATTTCTTATTTAGTTTTTTTACTTCCTTTGATTTTCATCAAAAGTCCAGTGTGTACGGATTTGGTATGTTTCAGCTGATTTTGGTTATAAACAATAAACCAGACAACAAACAACAGGGTATTGTCTCAAACTATGCATTTAAAAAATAAAGTAATTAAAAATGACTCCAGTGACACATTAAAGGTCTTCTTGCAAAAATAAACTGTGGGGAGTATTCAAACTCCAGGACTTTGGACCAACAATTGTAAGGCAGCCTCTTTTTATTCTCGTCCTTTCCTTGGACTTTTTTCTTATTTACATTTCTCATCTGCTCATGTATTTGGACAGTGGTGACTGCTTTTTTTCCAAGGGTGAAAGTGAGTTAAAAGTGACAGTGAGAATGCAATTATTTGCTAACCAGGTTTGGGGGAAAGAAATTAGTGGACCTTGTGATGTGACCTACACAGCATGTTCTCTTGAGAAGGAATCCTACCCTTGCTTTTGATAGGATTTGGCTCTAAAGTGATCTGTATATAATTGCTGCATATACTGGTTCTAATGTGCATTTGAAGTAAGGCTATTTTAGAAGTTGTTTTTTTTTTTTCTAGAAGTAAATGTTCTTGCTTTTTGAATCTGCACTTTTGAGTACTGAGAACATACGGACATTAGCTGGGAGAATCAGTTTAAAGGGAAAGTGTTTAAAGGAAAAATGCAAAAGAATATAAGTGTGCAGACTGAGAAGACTCGCAAAAAATAATTTAATTTTCTTGTTTCTAATTAGAAAAAATAATTATTTGATGCTGAAGTTTTTCTTCTTTTATTGAGTAATATGTACAGGAAAGTGGTTATGGTGCCAGTTTAAATTATTGTAATGTCTACTATAGTTCTATTGTTCTGCATAGGAAATGTGGAGGTAAATGTTAATCTAATTTTTACCTGACCTTTTAAACTGTAAAATATTTCTTCATTGTGTTTAAAGTGCTTTTCCATAAACTACCATCATTTGAACTTCTCTGCACTGCTGGAATGCCTTTCATCAACTACACTTACAGTATATTTCTAGACACGCCTCTGTCTAGTATCAATGGAAGTTATTGTTTTTCCTTGAGGAGATTCCTGAGTTTCTGTCTAGAAAGATGAATGAATTTCAAACATCTCCCATAGTCATCCTTTGTCTAAAATAAATCCCTTTGGATCTTTACTTATAAATTAATCATACATCTTAACTTGTTTTGTTTCATAAACAGCCAATTAGTTGTGATTGTGAGGACTTTGGAAAAACAATAAACAGGAAAGTCTAAGACTTTCTTTTGATCAGCTGACAATGTGGCTGTGTGGCGGCAGTTATGCTGTCTTGTGACTGCAATTATGGTGGCTCAGGTGGTTTTCATTAAGGGGCGCTGTACACTGATAAAATGTAAACACTGAGAAGAGTAGTGAAATACTGTAATGAAAACAAGTTTGGTAAGAAGCTCTAATCTTTCAATCTTCATTAGCTTGTGTCCATTTTTGCAATGATGTAATCTAATATGGATGTAAATTAGACACTGTCTTTTACAGATGTTTTGGAGAACTGGTACCCGTTTTAAGTGTTACTCATTTACCCATGTATTTTACTTAATTCACCTTTAGGAAATGTCCCTGGTTGCTCCTGAATCGCCATCAGAACAAGCTAGAAGAGTTTTCCAGACCTATGACCCAGAAGGTAGATACGCATGTTTCATTGCTGTCTTAAATTAAGAATTATTGTTCATTCCGTTGGTCACCTTTTAATAATTCTGCAACTTTCCTCATTTTCCAAGACCCAAAGAAGGGTCCACAGCCATCTTCTCTTCTCTTTCTTCTCATCTTTGTGTGGAATAAACCTTTACTTGTTCCTTCGCAGCCTACGCATACTGACACAGCTACCTACTTTAACCGCATAAAGTTTGGGTGCATAATTCCAGTCCCAGAGCACTAGGAGTCAGCAGGGTTCTAGGTCTCTTTGATTCATCAACACCCAAGAACTTTCTAAAGCATTAAAACCATCCAGTAACGCTAACAATTCGTTCAGATAAAAGGTAAGGATAATCACAGGTAGAACAAAAACCTACAGGCACTACTCTCCTTCAGAGGACTGGAGTTTTGCACCACTGTCACAGAGAATACAAATCTAATAGAAAATGAATTACTATAGATGTTTCCAGTTTGATCATTTAGGGTATTTCTGGACTTCCTAAGTAATGATAGATTTTTCTTGCATTTAGTTATCTCTAGGTTATTTCGTCTTCAGTTTCCTTCTGTGTCTTAAAGTTTTTTCTAGCATTAGTGATGAAGTCAGAGCTACCTTCTACTTCAGGGGTTCTCAGACCAATTATTCTGGTGGTATTAGTTGTCGCCTCTTAGGCAACTGTGGCCAGTTGTGGTGGGTACCTGCTGGTGGCTGCAATACCAATATTTCATCAATTGCTAAAATAACATTAGTATAATGTTCATAAGTAATATGAACATATATAAAGATAGATAAATTACATATAAATCACTGGTTATGCATATGCATTAGTCTGGAAGCTTTGAAAATAATACAGCTACTGTTCCCTGTTTTGTTCTTGAAAAAATAAAATACAAAAGATAAAACAATTTTTAAAGCATTTCTCCATGGAATTTAATAAACCATTTTGAAATTCTAAACATAGAAACTAATACCTTTACTTACATCATGATGGCATTTCGGTTTTAATGTATTCATAATAATTGTTGTGCTTTCATACCGCCCTGCCATCTTCAAAAAATTATCAATTTAGTGAATATTTAATGCTTATGTTAGGTGATTGTTTTTCCACTCGTTTGGAGTTACATGACAGTTCCCTATGTGTATTGGTTATCACTGAGTCTTGCTAGTCAATAGTAGCTCCCAGAATTCGTGTGTTGGTGCTGGTAGAAATAATGAACAGCCACAGAACAGTGAGAAACACTAAAGTAGCTTTTTGTGTTGCTCAGACATGCGTAATACAAAGTTATGGGCCACAGCATGAATCAAAATAGAAGGTTGAAGGGAATGTACCAGTATTTAAATTTTTTAAAACATTTTTAACACAATTTAAAATATCTCAGTGCATTAGAGTAGGGTTGGTGGTGTCTTCTGTATCCTGCTGGTGGCCACATACAGTAAAATAATATGGATGGAGCTCGGACTCTGAACCACACTCTTCATCTCTTGCTTCTCCATCCTCACAATTCAGTGGTGTGTGAGCATTGTGGGTCTAATTTTATTTTCCCTTTAAACAAAATAGATCTAGATTTTCTGTGTAATTTTTGTACAGCGCAAATCTGACAGGGTGTCAGAATACCATGACCTCTTCATTAATTGGATTGTTTTTGTTACATTTTGTCCATTTCCTCTGCTTAAAACCTAATTTTGTAATGTTTAACCATGTTTTCCCACAATCTCATTTTTTTTTCTTTCTGGAGACGTTTCCAGACGATTGTGACTTTCCTTTGCTTTGTGTTTCCCCTGGATTTCTCTTCTCGCCTCCCTCTCCTGGCTTTCCTGTTTTTTGCTATCTTATGTTTTTTTAAAATAGATAAGATTGTCTTTGCTTTTCTTCACCATTTAAGATTCTCACAGAAATGTTTGTGCTGGTGCTTGCTTTACTGATATGTCCTGCAGGTGTTTTTTTTCCCCCATTTCATGCTTCTTCATAGTATTGTAATACAAAAGATTTCTGTTGCCAAACTTTTAAAAGTATTTTTGTAGATGAAATCTTTGATGAGGTAACATTTTATTGTACTGTTAATATTGTGAGCTCACGTTTTTTAGTTTATATACCAATTGACCTTAATTCTCAGTGGGCTTATACTGACATACAGTATGTTGGCTGACCTGATCATTTGTTTGTGAAATGATGATCACATTTGCCTTGTAATGATTTTGTGACATTTACAGTATCTTTGCTGAATCAGAGGATGTTTGGTTTCAGGTTAGACATGTTTGCAAGTATCTGTATTAATACAGGTTTCCTGCAAGCTGGGTGTTAGATACACAGTACATGTTAAACATTTAGGTGGGTAGCTGTGTCAGCATGCGTAGGCTGCAAAGGAACAAGTAATAGGTTTATTCCATGCTGAAAAAAAGAAGAAAAAGAAGTGTATGTGGTAGAAACGTTGTGTTCTCTTTTTTCTTTTTTTCAGCATGGAATAAACCTATTACAGGTTAAACATTATGTATGTTTAAACCTTAATAATAAGTCTTTTTTCTCTTTGCTTCTTTCAAATTATAATTGTATTACATTAAATTGTAATTATAGAAATAATTCAGTTCCTAATATAGAATTTTAGAAGTTTTTGTCCTTTTAAAAAATAATTGCAAATCTAATCAAGTAGGACGCATAAGTACTTTTTATTAATTTTTATTATTGAAAGGCATTAATTGAAGGAGTTTCCATAGTATATCTGAACTGAAAATAAAATTAATACGCATTCTTATTTTTGATATAACAGAGGTTCTTAAGTAGCATGCATATAGATATAAGCACTAATAAAATACCTTAATTTTTATGTCTCTCTTCTGTCACATTAAATGTCTCTTTAAAATGTCTGCTTTAAAAGCAAAGCAATATTGTATACCCTAAGGTTGTCTTCTCAGCAAGAAAAAATATTTCACACAAATTGAAGTTTCTTTTGTTACCCAATGTTATGCTTCTTTCTTCTTTCTCAAGTTTCCCATTTTAAGGTTGCATCAGGAATGAAAATTTTCATTTAATCAGGTACACATGGTGACTGTGAAAACAACATTGAAATAAGCAGGCAAAAACAGTTCAAACCAGAAAAAATAGTATCATCAGCAATGAACATGTAGAGGAAGCAAGTTAGCCGATATAGCTGAAGGCGGATGTACACTGATGTCATCAAGGCTACAAAGCCAATGATAAACACGTTTCTTTTCCATATTGTCATACTAATGACTGCTAAAGTATTTCTGCACTGCCAGTTTGTTTTTGGAGAACAATGCACTGCAGATGGAAGCTTGTACTAGATTTATTATTCTGTCTCAGTTACGGCAGTTTTTCTTCCAGGAGTAATTAATCATTGCAAGTTAATTCAAGGGTAGATGGTGACTTCAGGTGGTGGTGCAATATTAATATTTTTAAAAGGATACATATAACAGCATTTAAGGTCCTAATTTAATATTTGGGTCAAATTGAAGATGTTGTTGGGAAACCACAGCAGACAGTTCTATAAATGCCTATAAAGAGATGCTTATCATTCAGCTGTTGAAAGGGGGGTTTTACTGCCTTATCTGAAATACAGCACTTGCAAATTCATTCTTGTTTTATGTTACATGTGGACTTTTTCTTAAGCGGCGTATGTGGTAGATCTTCCAAAGCAGCTGAGTCAACGTCCCTTAGCACAATTATCCTGTAGGGGGATTAAGTCTGTTATTCTGCACAGGCACTCTTGAGGAATAATTAAAAATGTAATTAAAATACTTTTTACTTTAATCAAGGGATACTCTCTTGTTTACAAAACGTTTTGAAGAAAATGTGCTGCTTGCTAATTTATTTATCCTAAGGCTGCCCACACAATTAAACCTGTATTAAGAACATAAGAAAAAAAAATGGTAGGTTTTTTTTTCCTTCTTCCTTTGCAGCTATATTTATCTCTTTTTTAAGCAGTAGTGAGTGGTGGAAAAGTAAGTTTTCCAGCTTTCTTTTGTCTGAATACCATCATACTTCTTCATACTTTATAAATTCTGCACGTGTTTAGAAAAGTTATAGAACCAACTATTTTTTTAAATCTCATTTTAAAAGTAATGGATGTCCCATGACAACGCTGAACTCGCAGGCACCTAGCATGTCCTGCTGCATAGCTCATCCAGTCCTACAGTTCAAACTTAAACCAGCAGTGTCTCAACTGTATGGCTCTGCCTGCTTTCCAAACAAGCACTTTTTATTGGTTGCACTGCCTGGGAGATCTGAGAATTAAGTATTTGTATAGATGTGATTAATACTTATCCTAACATATACCTCCCCACCCCCAAAAGAAACAATTGAAATGTCAGCACAATCTTCAACTTATCTTTTCACATCAAAAGTAAATAAGTGTTGAATATCCTAGTTTATTTCTTGAGCTAGTGTCAATAGACCTACTCTTTTTAATGGTTTCCCTCTGGTTGCTTTCTCAGTGGGGAAAGCAAGGCTGAAACATTTACATGACTCATGAAGCATAAGATTGGTGTTAATAAGGTGTAAAGCACAGGTATATTGAATTCTCATTGCATGATATTTTTGTTTTACAATGTGTTTTCCCCCAGACACATTTGAAATAGTTCTTTGCTCATTTTTTCTTTTTTTTTGTCAAGGCCCTTTAAAGCTAAAAAGAAAGGAAGCACTTTTCTTTCCAAATTAAGATTCTCTTTGATGCAGTAATTTAAGCAATTTGAAAACCAAAATACTACCACTGCCTCTGGCTCTCCAAATAGAAAACCCTTTTGATAATTAAGGTTTTTTTTATCAGTTGTCTTGTTGATTTTACAAAAACAGTTTTTAATTGTATCTGTTACCTGTTAAAATGGTTGGAATGTGCTCTAAGTTAGCAGTCCCTAACCTTTTTCCTAGAAAGCACTATCTATGTTGTTTTATCAGTCACTGTAAATCACTTTGATAAGATTAAGAATACTTAGAAGTTATTGATCAAAGTGCTTTGTTCAGCAAGCGAATTCTGTAC